ATTCTACAATAAATTCAGTATAAAACTCAAAATTCTTTAGATTACTTATTTGTGTGCTAATGTTTATTCTGGTTTTAGACAGTTTAACTTATGTTTGTTGTGGTTTCTACAGTCAATTTAAGTTTTCTAGAACTTTTCTTTTTTTTTTAGAATATAAAAGTCTAGGTTTATTTTATATTTGAGAAAGGGAAGAGAGTCAGGGGAAGAGATGAGGAAGAGAGAGAGAAGGAATGGAGGGCAGAGAGCAGGGAGTGAGCAAAGGGAAGATGGAGGGGAGAGAGAAAAGGAGTGACAGAATGGTGTGGCATCCCAAAGAAAGAAAGGAAGGATGCCAGAGAGTTTTCCATTTCAATTCAAATATATGAAGTTTTGATCTTGTTCCTTATATGAATGAACGTGAGTGGTGTGTTTGTTATAGATGAACTGCAACCCAACTTCTTAGTAAATTAGCTTAAGTGTTTCATTAAGATCTTACATCTATATACTGTACTCAAGATTTTATTTCATATATTTCTATTAATAACAAAAATAACATTTGAGTCAGGCACTGTTTTGAATTATTCATTTTTCCCCATAACAACCCAATGAGGATATACTATTATTATGTTCATTTTACAGATGAGGAAATGGGTATAGAGAGGTTAACTAATCTGCCCAAGGTCACAAAACTAGTGAGCAGATTTCAGCCTAGGAAGTGAGGCAGTGGTACTCAAGATATTAACCACTGCTATAATATACACATATAAATAAACATGTAGATGTATTTGTCTGTTGGGGACCAGCCCCAAACTACACCATGCGTTCTTTCCCGGTGACTGGAGTAGACTAAAGGCTGAGGGAAAAATGAAAATTTGAAGACACAAGAAGAAAGTTTTTTAAAGCCAGCCAGGGGGCTGTCCAAGTGTGAGGACTGGTGGAAGCCCTAGTTGTGGGCTAGCTCTGTTTTTGTTTTTGGTTTTGGTTTTTTTTGCAGTTTTTGGCCAGGGCGGAGTTTGAACCCACCACCTCTGGTATATGGGGTCAGCGCCACACTCCTTTGAACCACAGGTGCTGCCTGGCTAGCTCTGTTTTTATTACACACATCACTGTTTTAATCATCAATCTCATGGAGGAAGGCTAAACCCTTAAATCATGGTTCTTCGTGGGCTTGCATTTTCTAACCAAACTGTTTCCTTAACTATGTTAATTAGACTGATTTACCCCTGACTATTATTACTCTAAGTTATTTACAATCTTAACACAAACAGAGAATGAGACAGGGAACACAGTCCAGGAGCAGGATGTCAAAGCAGACCCCAATTAGACCATGCACACAAATCTCAAGAGTGGTGCTCAGATGAGCTGGCACTTCTGCCCATACTGAGAAGACAGAAGAAAGGAGATATTTTTCTCCTTTCTTTCCTGAGAAACATTTCTTTCTTAACAAGGTCGAGATGCTTGTCCTGTCTCCAGTGCATTCTGCATTCCCTTGCCAACATCCAAAATGTACTAACTCTCCGTGAGAGGGTAGCCCCACCCACGGTGAGCCTTGTCTCAGTGCTCAGTGACCTCTGAGCCAAGTTGCACTGGTGGAGGGGTGCACTGGGGAAGCTCCAGTAAGACAGTTTTCTTGAAAATGCCAGGCTTTCAGGCTGTCACTTTGCTACAGATTTTGGGTCTCTCTGATCCACTTCTCTGCTGTCTTTGTTCCCTTTTGCCCATCATCTGCAATCATTTTCTTAATTCAATTCCTAACCTGTATAATAAACAATTGAAAATTTGTTTTAAGATTATTAAATCATTATTTTTAGCAATACAGGCACATCAAGATATGACTCTTCCCTTAAGTATCTACATGTGCACCCTCATTTACCATCTATTGCTTGTTTAAATGTTTTCTTTACCTTTAGTTCCCTGAGGTAAAGGACACTCTCTGGCATATTGGAGCTTATTAATAAGTCTTTTAGGAATAAATGAATGAATGTATTTCTCACTTTACAGGGTAATTTTTTTTTTATTTTTTTATTTTTACAAATTTTCCTATTATTTTAACATTATTTTATATCTAATATCTTAACATTCTTGGCTTCTCTTTCAAGTCTGATCCAGTTATTATTCGGGTGGTTTGTTATGAGACATGTTATGACATTTTAAACCTTCACATTTAAAACTTCATGCTTTTGCCCAGACAAAAATGATCTCTTCCTCTCCTCCTGCCAAATAAAATAGCAGATTAAGTGTTTACATGAGGGTAGTTTGTAATCCAGGATTTTTGCAGCAGCGTGTTTCCAACATTCTAGTCAAATCCTGCCTTTTGTCTGACTCTTCCTGATGAGTATTAGGATCAAAGCTTTACCTTGGCATCCATTAGTCACCAAGTGCTTATTTTGAGGATGGTTGCTACCATCACTTACTCTCTACACAGGTGCCACCTAGTTACTTTTGTTTTGGCAATTATGGGTTAAATACATTCCTGGGCTTAGTCCTGCTTAAGCTTGCTAGCTCTCTGTTTTAAATTAAGGCCTGATGGGTTATTTCTTTCAAGAGTAAAGCTTTCTTTAAATAGGATTTTTTTTTCAAAGCACCCATTTTTATTCTTCTTTACCATATATGAGAGTCTGTCACTGTTTAGCTTTGCTTTACTGCCCCGGCCTGCAAAATTACACCAAACTGAGTTAACAATGACTGGTGGTTGAAAAGAACTTATATTTTATTCTTAAAATATTGTTCTCTTTTGAGATGCATATTTGGCTTTGCTTCCTTACTGCCTCAACACCATCTTTTTAAGTATTTAATTTCAGCCCACAGAATTAATGTCACTCTAAAGAGTTGTTTCACGAAGGAGTTTCTGAATTATATTATGCAAGGACCCTGTTTTTTGCCATAAAAATGGGTTCGGTAATTTTTAGGTTCAGTAATTCCCTAGCAGAGAAATCTATCAGGGATTAATACATCTGTTAGCAATTGCTTTATAGGCGAAAACATGTTGAACTGTTTTTATAAAGCCCCTTATTTTTATACATACCTCTCTGCATATTTCCTTTGTAGCACTTTTTCTCCATCTAACATACCTATTGCTCATCAACTTAGAAATACTCCACGGGGTATTTAAAAGGCTTTTCCAGTTTGTAAGGAGGAAGAGATTATGGCATTTCAGATTCATTAACAAAGACATTCAGCCCATATGTTAGGAATTCGTCTTATCAGGAATTCTCTCTTAACCATCTTTTTATTACTAATATGTAGAATTTAGTACAATTACAGATCTTTTTACTCTTTCCCATTCTTTTCCTCCTTTTGTTCATTTTGGAGACTAGGAGACAGGTAAAGCTGGAGGTGAGAATTTGAGAGTGGTTTTAATATAAATGCTATTAAGACTATGGACAAGAAGAGGTTACCGAGGGTGTTTGGAGGAGAAGTCAGCAAAGGAGACTTGGAAAGAGTGCAGTAGAATAGAAGCCAACTAGCAGTGTGTCATCAGAGAAACTGAAAGAAGTGACTCAAAAAGGGAGGAGATGGTCTGCTCTGGCACAAGTCTATAGGAGACAGAACGACATAAAGGATGACGATTAGAACTGGTTATTAAGTCTGGCAAGATGACTACAACTGTAATTAAAGCACTTGGGATGATGTCTTGATTGGAGTGAGATTAAACAAATTAGAAATTATGAATAAAGATAGTGACTTTGGATTCCTCTTTTAAGAGACATGATTGTAAATGTAAACAGAGAAATGAATGATAGCTGGAAATTTTTAATTGTAGGTGGATATATTTTAAATAGTGGGCAATTTAAAAACTCATTTGTAAGCCAATATGAATAATACAATATTGAGAAAGAAAGAGATGATTGGGGTGGGGACAGGGCATAATTGCAGGAGAAAATTTACTGCATGGGTGAAAAAATAAGATTGACAGCACAGTTTAGGTCAATTGGCCTTAGAATGGACGATTCTTCCATTGTGACACCATTAGGAACAGTGCGTTTTTACAGCTGCACATTTTAGATCTGGTGATGGAAAGATGAAGTAGGCTCTTCTAATAGTTTTTATTTTCTCAAGTATGAGCAAAATGAAATGTTTGGAATAGGGGAAAAGGGTATAAAAGATTTATGAAAAAGGAAAGAAACTATAAAATAGTCACTTAGGAGAGTGATGATTAGAACTCGTGGCAAAGGTCTGATTTCAACATTCAGCTGCCAGAGGAAAATATGCAACCTGCTTTGAGCAGAGAGCCATGTCTGGGTACTTATCAAGCACCATTATCTATTGTAGGCCATCTCCCTTCAGTTCTCACCATTATTTTTCTACACTATTCAGACACTTAGAACTTTACTTTACCTTACTCTTTAGCTTACTCATGCATTTAAAAAATTTTTATTTTTATTTACTTAATTTTCTTGAAACAGGAACTTGCTCTGTCATCCTGCTGGAGTACAGGGGTGCAATCATAGCTTGCTAGACCATCAAACTCCTGAGCTCAAGCTATCCTCCTGCCTCATCTTCCCAAGTAGCTGGGACTACAGGTGAGCAACAACACATCTGAGTTTAAAGACACTTTTAAAATTATATTTTATTTTGCACTTCCATGTGTTTGTGTAGGAGAGACTTCCTAATGTTTTCAAGGAAAATAGAAGTAAAACTTCTTCAGTCTTCTGAGTCTAAGTTTCATTACTTATAAAAGGGGAGTAGTATTATCTACATGAATATTTGTGCTTATAAATTAGAAATGATACATATAAAATACTTGCCTTTAATAGGAAATCAGTAATGATAATTTTAATTTGTATTACTACTAAATATTATTCTTTTATCCAGAGAATAAAAATACCTTGCTTCCATTCTTCTTTTTAAATATATATATATCTGTTATATATATATAACTTTAAGTTGGCACAATGTGCCTAAGTTTCTTATGCATAGATTTGGTTGGAATATAAGATTATTTTACTGATTGCTATTTGTATTTTGGACTTCATAATGTTTTTGGGACCTTGACCATGTAATACCTGAGAAAGAATAGGCTTCAAACAGAAAATTTGTTTCCTCATGAGATTTTATTCTTATTTTATTAGTCAAATTATAATTAATAATGTAATTCGAAAAACCCAAATAATAACACCGAGGTGAGGGGAGAAGAGTAAAAAACCAACATATAACTTGACAGGGAATTTTAAAATCTCACAACATATCCCTATCCTCTTTGCCTACTAACAGTGTTGCTGAAGACTACAATTTTTCATAGTAAAGCATTATGTTAATTTGAATAGCTAATAGTAAGAAATGCTAATAACACAATTTTAGCATCAATCTTTTTTTCAAAATTAGAACAGCCATGGCCATACTTGGTATTCTCTAAAGGAATATGGCTGCTACCAAAGTCAATGTTCAATGATGAAGGAGAGGTGTGAAATAGAGCCCTATTGACTCTTTATTCCATATCTTCCTCTTCCATGTTTGTCTGCTCTAGGGCATGAACCTCTCTTTCAGGTAGTAACCCATATTCATTTAGGAATGACTCCACATCCCCAGCAAAAAATTCTTCAGCAAGCTGTTCAGTAACACTAATAAAATTGCTTATGAGTTCCCCACCTTTGTAGACAAGCAGGGTGGGGAGTACATCTGAGGAAAAGCGGTCCCCAGCACCTGTATTAGAAGCTTTTATTTTACAGAATTTGACTAGAGGGTATTCTGCTGCAAGGCACGTTAAACTACTGTTGAGAGCATCACAACCCTTAACACCATCTTCATAAATGTGAACAACGATGGTGGTGATTTTCTGCTCCTTTTCAATCGTTTCCAGGAATTGCTCTCCAGTCTCCAGCTCATACACAAAGCCATATCTAGGCCCAAAACTCAACTTCTGGTGCATATCCTGCATACACTGTCTACGGTATTTACGAAGGCAGTTTTCATCCTCTTTGTCTTGATGGATTAGTTCATATTCTTGAATGCTCATCTGAGAATAGGTGAAAGAAATGATAGAAATCATCGTCAGAAATTTATATTTCTTGGACACACCCAAGCTCATTCTCAACTCGAGGGTTTGCTTTTGCTGCTTTTTTCTAGTAGACTACCTGGACTTCTACTGTGGCCTTTCCCCTTACCTCATTGAAGCTTTTGTTCAAACGTCATCTTCCATGATAACATTATCCTTATCTCAATTCTTTGTACTGGTGTATTTTCTTCATAGCAAAAATACTTCCTTACCTTGTGGTAATATTTATTTAATTGTTTAATATAAGTTTTTCTAACTGATATGTTTTGTGGGGCAGGAATTTTATTTGTCTCATTCATCACTCTATCTTGAACATCTATAGTATCTTACACATAGTTCAACAATTTATTTCATGATTAAATTCACGTATAGCTATTGGTGAATATAGTTGAGCCATGATATGCGCACAACCTTAGTCAGAAATATGCCACTTAACTGTGAACCTCTTTGAGTGAAAAAAAAAAAAGAACAAGATTTGCTCTGGGGTTTCATCAAAAGGGGAAAAAACAGCTGAGCGTGGTAGCTTGTGCCTATAATTCTAGCACTCTGGGAGGTTGAGGCAGATGCATTGCTTGAGCACACAAGTTGGAAACCAGCCTGAGCAAGA